TGCAGTGGCAGAAATCCCCTGAATGTAATAATCCTGGATGAGTGTTTTCATGTCCTTCACTCAGAGCCTTCACAACACAATGTGTTTTGCCCTCAGTTGACTGAGACGGCCTGAGTTTCAGAGAAAGGGCTTCAATGCTTCCTGAAAGTGTGACAGCTTCAAAATACGTCCAGTGAAACCCCAGAACCATGAGAGATTTTGGAAAAAATGCTGTTGCTGTTCCTCTGATCCATTGTCTTTTTCAGAGTGGCACAACTGTGTTTGCTGTGCACAATTCCCAACAAACTGATTGATGTGGAAGGCAAGCCAGGAAAATCTCTGCTCCACCCCATTTTGCACGTTTCACGATCCAAAATCTTCAATAACTGCCCAGATGGGGAATATATTTTTTCCTTTCTGTTCCTCTATATATTTCTTCTGCAATTTGCATTATTATTGGGTAGCCTGCATGCTATTTACTTCATTCTACAGCCTGTAACCCTTTATATAGTCTCCTGCCTTCTACACTGCTCTAGAAAATGTCGCCATTGAATTCCTGCTGTGAAATGTTCCTATAAACAGGAACCAAGTAAGCAAATAGATCTTCTGATTAATCCTTGCTACATACACACACACACACCTTGCTTTATCACCCAGATGAAATCTGCAAGCAGTCAAAGTGCTTGCGTGCAGCCCTGCGCTGCAATGACTGCTCTCACTGCGGTGTTGTATAACCATCATCACTGCAGCTTATGTCTTCATTCCTTCTTAGGTTACACGACCAACACGGAGATTAGTAACAGGTTTTAAAAGATGTCCGCGTACGGCTAATTTATCACACACACATCACATAAATAAACAAATAATATATCCACACGTATATATCAACTTAATTGCTGCACATGTAAGTACCTGATTTCCCATAATGAAGACTTTAAGGAAGCCTATACACCAATAGATATTAATTACTCTGTCTGAACCAGAGGCCCCACTTTTCTCCTAAACATGCTGCATTCAGTGGGGTATTGGATTTATGACGCTGCTCATCACTCTGCTGCCTAAGCACTTTTTTATACTAAACTATAAGAAAGAATGAAATACACAACAGGATCTTTTTTTTTCTTTTTTTGTTCCTTGGGGGCGCAGTGGTGAAAGAGAGGAAGGGCCGAAGGGGAATAACTCTGGAGTAAGACGTAAAGAAATATATCTTTGTAGGATTTGTTACTTTCTATTTACATTGTTTTGGTGTCAAGGGATAAGAGCATTGCAAGCATTGTGTTTGCAGCAAAAAATCCTTCTGCGCTGATGTACTTCTGGAGCAGTTTCCTCTGCAGAGCTTTTGGTTACACCAGCGTAACTGAGAGCTGATGATGTTTTTTCAGGTTGTGGGCTTGTGCCATCCCCCCCCAGGAACACGTCCTTAGCCCATGCAGCACCCATAGCACACGGGTACCGTCGCCTCCTCCCAAGAGGAAACTCCAGCTGGTGCAAGGCCACCCTCCATTTCAGAAGAATTTTGCACGATTTAGGACCCTACAAATTTCTGGTCGTGATCCCACTAAGTCTGAAGAGGATGCAGCCTCGCAGCCTGAAGGTATATTATGTTTAACAGCCCTGTTTGTGTTTTACTCTGTTAAAAGGACACCATTATACTAAGTCCCCAGTAATTGCTAAACCGTTACTCTTTAGCAAATTTCCATGAAAGATATACAAGTCCCCAGAGATGTTCTGGCACAGGAGTGTTAAGTGCAGCATCCTTGTTTTTTAAGTAGGTGATTCTTTGCTACATAAATGTCCCAGTCTGCTGCACGTACAAAGGTAAAATGACCCTCTGGAGACATTAACGGGTTCCTTAACTCCTCTGTGCCCTATTCACAGCCAGGCAGCATCCCACCTCCAGCCCCACTTTGCTTATTTGTGTTTATGGTACACAAGGCAGTAGATAAACAAAAAAGGTTTTAGACACTTTCTGTTCTTAGCTAAACCTTTTAGTTACACATTAGGGAACAGAAGTGTGGTACGACCCTCTGTTTATTTGTGGTTCTTTTAAGTGATGTCCAGAGACCTACATTTCATGGTTGTTTGAAAGTTTATATAACAGTGGGAAGCTGTTAAACAGCAGTTTACCTTCACTTTTTTTTTTTTTTTTTTTCCTCGTGCAAAGGATTTGAAATTAACACTCCATCTACCCTATTATTTTAGTTATTACTCAACATTCCCCAGGTTTTCTTTTGCCCTACAATTTATGTTTCTGATAAATAGTGATAAGAGCATTCATGTCACCAAACATTTAGCAGCGATTCCAAAATAGCTCTTGAAGCTTTTAATTAACTGCTGTTCAGCTCTAAGAAAAAAAAAAAAAAGAAAAAAGTGATTAAAACCCAGCAGTCTTCACATTAGATCTATAAATGAGACACAAAGTACTTCCAAAACTAATTTTTTTTTCATTTTATTCCCTCGCATTCTAGCGAGTGATACGTAATTCAGTCTTTTAAATCAGCTGGAAATGCTTTTTGAAATGTTCACAACTTTCTTGCGTGCCTCCCGGATCCTGCAGCGTGGTCATGCTCAAACACCCACAGGATCTCCCTAACGCTGCACTGCATTCAGCATGTAAACTTTTCTCTCGTTGTCTGAAGTCTCCCCTTTTTTTTCTTTTGTATAGTTCGACCCTAATTCTGTTTCCTTAAGTCAATGACACTTTTGCTTTGCTGTAGGACCGTGCTTTTGCTTTGCTGTAGGATCCTTTTTCTGCTTTATATAGCCACAGCTCCTTCCAACAGAGAACGTTTCTTTCATTAAAAAAATAATAGTAATTAATAATAATCAAAATCCAAATTAAACATCTACTTTACTTGCAAGCCAGATCTTAACTTGGACTCGCTTTGGGATACTGGATATGTTGTTTTGCTTCAAATCTTCTTTAAACTTCATGCTAAGAAACATTAAACAAATTAAATGTAAATCACTTTGCATATAAATTTGATCTTGATTTAAAAATCACTGTATAAAAACTGCCAACATTTTAATGCAAAGTATGCATTATTTTGGCTCCTTATGCTGGGATGAAAGAAAATCCACTTTTTAATTATGTTTTTAAGTGTTTGGGAAATAATGTTGAGCTTCAGCCACAAAGACAAGCCAGTGTTGTTGTTTTTAAAATTATTTGTGTCCAGGAAATCTTTCTGGGAGAACATGGATGGAATTCATAGTAAAATAAATTTAATATAATTCCATCATATTTTGGAAAGCTCACATGACACAGTCATATCCCATTAATTCACAGTGATCACCAGAAGGCCAACTGAAAACTACAGAATAATACAAACTAGAGCCAAAACCTTGAAATGGATCACTACACAAGACCGCACTTATTTTAGGTTTTTTGTTTTGTTTTGTTTTTAATTAGAAGGAAAAAAAAAAGAAATATTATCTCCCCTTCTTAACTTCATGCAATAATTCTAATTTAAATGACCGTACTTTATAAAATCTATTACATTTTAGGATTGCGAATTCTCACGGTATAACATTATATGTTTCTATTTTTTTCTGGAACGCTTCTGGATGCAGATTCACGTTCTCTGCTACAAACATATAAAATGTTCTGCACTGAAAGGCAAGGACTGAAATACAATTTCTGTACTGAAGTTGCTGAAAACTCCACAGAGTTGCGAAGACAAACTTCTCTTGTTATCATTCTTAGCATTTGTCAAGCTATTCTCTACCTCCCTCTAAAAGAAAATGCAAGCAAATGACAGAGCAGCAAATCTACTCGCCCCCCCCATGAAAACTGTCCGTACGATGCTTTGCTATAGTGAAACTCCACTGAGGGTGCAGCGGAATTGAAATCACAGAGAGCATTTCTGCTTTTTGAATGTGCACACTGTGTTTGCAGAGCCTTGAAATTGCTGACAGCCAAGAAAACAGCCGCACTGAACGTCTTAATAGGTAATCATGCGAGCAGCGATTTCTGAGGACGATCAGCAGTTCAGTTCCCTATAGGAAGCAAGCAGAGGCACCAACTGTAACTTTGCAATATTTAGCTAAAGTTCAGCTCGCAGTTAAAAGACAGATGTGGTGCGAAAGCTCTATTTCACAGCTAATAACGTCCCCCTCCTCAAACACGTGCAACAAAAAAGAAGAGATTAAAAAGATATCAAGGCTTGTTTAGGCCAACAAGTTGTTAAATTTCTAGAGCAGGGACAATTTTCTAAGTACGATCATTTCCTCCAACAAGGTAACTCATGTAAACACCATCAGGGTCGTATTGTTTGTTCTGTGCTGCCAGATGGGGGATACAAACCATGCAGAAACAATTTCAGATTTCCACCCTGATTAGTTCATCTTGAATATTTTCACAGTGTGAATCTGGAAGTCAAAAGTTTACATAATGGTTATAAATTAGGGATAAATCCTGCTGCCAAGAAAGTCACACTCAGACAAACAAACTGTCTCCTTCCTAACATGTTTTAGGTGTTGCTTTTCAAACGCATTCTCAGCTGTAGGTGGAAAAAAGCGCTTCAGTTCCTTATTGTTTTTCGGATTACTGTTTTCCCATCTCAGGCTATTTATTCCAAACGGCGATTTACCCGGTTCAACGCGTCCCCGTAAGCCGGGCAATGGGGCGTTTGCCTCAGCCTGCAGCTCCCCCCGGGGGCCAGAAGAAAACCCACAGCTTGCAAAAGCCTTTAATGAGCTCTCAGTTGCATCCTTGGCCAGTGAGAAACTTCAGTGGGCAAAAAAACAAACCCCAGCACCCCGAGTTTTTCACAGCTCAGAGCTTTGCTACGGGGTGACCATGCAAGTGGCTGATTGTGCCCACTGAGCCCCATGTCTTATGCCTTTTTCTGCCCTCCCGAACTTCTTCAGGGCACAGCTTTTGCTGGTTTTACTGTCGTCCCGAAACGTAAGCCTTCGAAAATAATATTATCTTACAAAATCTCAGCAGAACGCCAGTTCTTATTAGAATTGATGGCTGCTGTGGTTAAAAAGAACAAAATAAATAAAAATCACAGTGTGTCGGTAGAGTCGATAAAAAATACCGGAGGAAGGTTTATGCAAAGGCAACTTTTGAGGCACAGGCAGATGGAGTAGGCAAAAGGTGAAGTTTATACATTCTTTCCAATTGGCTTGGCTGTGATAAAGCCAGCAAACGGCTAGTTTTTATTCAGCAATCATTCTAATCTAAAATTCTTTGTGTGCCAGCTATGTAGCTGAAATTTCTGGTTATTATAAGTACGAGGGTGAATTCTGCCCTCTGATGTATGCACAAGTTCCGTTTTCCTTTAGGATCATTGGGTTAATGTACATCTATGTCAGGACAGAGCGTGATATTATTCCTGAGGAACAGCGAGCAACGTCAGGTCAAACACGCCGGTTTCATTTAATACTAAGCATGTTTAAGAAGAAATGTCAGAGTTCAGTTCCGCTGGCTCGTGATGTAAGTCAGGAATTACTGAAGCCAGACACCTACCCTGCTCTTACACCAGTTTTGCACTAGGATTACTTCGCTGAAATAAATCAACTCTTTAACAGGAATCCACCGTACTGATATATGAGCAGTTCATAAACTTTATGCAAACAAGGAAACATGTTACACAGGTGAGTAAATTTATTCATGTGGTTTAACTACTTGCTAGTTACATACATTTTTGTTCCTGCTGCTGATGGAAAGTTTTGCTGGAAATCTTCGAGTGTGTTATTCCCCCTTTTCCCTTCCCTTCCCTTCCCTTCCCTTCCCTTCCCTTCCCTTCCCTTCCCTTCCTTCCCTTCCCTTCCCTTTTTTCCTTTTCCTTTTCCTTCTTTCCTTTTCTTTTTTCTTTTTTTTCTTTTTCCTTTTTCCCTTTTTTTCTTTTTTCTTTTTTTTCTTTCCTTTTCTTTCTTTTTTCTTTTTTTCTTTTTGCTTTTCTATTCTTTATCTCTCCCCTCCTCCCCTCTTGACTTTCCATGATTTTTCTTTTCCTTTTTTATCTCCCATCCCATCCAGACACAGATGTAAAGGCTATGTGAATTTTAAAAATCCTCAAGCATATTTTTGAGTTTTCTAACCTGATGATGGGTTTTTACTTTTTAGTGAAAACTTCTTTCTTCCTTTCTTCCTTCTTTTCTTTTTTTCTTTTCTTCCTTTTCTTCTTTTTCTTTTTTTCTCTTTCACTGTCTCTCTCTCTCTTTTTTTTTTTTCCCAAGAAAGAAAAGGAATGTCCTCCAGTTAACTGTTTTGCATACAGAAGCAAGCAATCAAGTTTTTCAGACAGAAGAGCAGATCGAGCCCTAGAGCACAGTGGTTAAAATCACACCATAGTTCATCTCTGGCACATTTGGGTGTAGTTTTCCAGGTGGCAACGTCTGTGCTAACATCACCCCTTAATATCTGTTGGATGAAAACATCTCTGGTGCTAAAGGACCTTGAAGAGTGAAAGCATGCACTGAAGAGTGTTTGCTGTAGTTTTAGATGAGCTTCCCATGCTCACACTCAATGCACCACTGATTCTTTTCATCCTCTGCCAAGGTCAGGACAACAGCAGATCCCCATTCCGTGCTTCCCTGCCCCAGTTTTGGGAGGCTGAGGGGTCCCGCTGAGCTGTCCCACACGGCAAGGCCCTGAGGGGCTGCACTGCTACAGGGTTGGGCTATCCTGCATTGCAGCTGCAGCTTCTGAAGGTGGGACACTGTTCCTTCGAGCTGATGGCAGTAGGCCGTCCGGCCCGAGCCTCGCAGCTGCCTCCCTGCTCCTGTCCCTCTCACACGCTGTTAAATGGCGCCTCCTGCCTACCAGCCAAAGAACACGGACTGTTAAAGCTTTGCCACTCGGTTTTTGCCCGTTCCTCACAACACTGAGTTTTTGCAGAGGTTGCAGGGCAGCCCGCAAGATGGCTGGGGGGCCGTGTCCCCTCACCCTTGAATAAGACAGCAGTGCCCGAAGTACTGCAGGGCTGTGCTTCAATCTGTGCCCCTATGCAGGCCGACATCTCCCTGCCACCCCCCGCTGCAGTCCTTGAGACACCAATGGCTGCCTCCAGCTTTGGGACTGGGGTCAGGGGGACTCCATGGGATAAACGTGGTCCTGGTCTCAAGGTCACAACAGCCTGACCTAATGGTGGGCAACACTGCCCATGGCAGGTGTTGGAGCAAGATGATAATTAAAAGTCCCTTCCAACCCAAACCGTTCTATGATTCTATGAATTTCACCTAGCTTTAGACATCTGCACTGTAGACATTCACAGTTTTAACATCCATGTCTTCTGTCCCTCTAGGGACATGAGTGGGGAAAGATGTGCACTGCCAGGGCCCAGCATAATTCCTTCTCACACACCTGAATGGAGCAGAGGAATTGTATGCCATGAGTGCCTGTTTCCATCAATAAAGTACTCAGACTAAATGCAAGGTGAGCTAACCCTATTTGTACACCTAAGCTGTAGCAGATGCTGTCTAGGAGGTCCTGGTCTCCTTTTGAAGTATCACGGCCTTGACAGACTCTTTAGCAGGGTCTGTTGTGACAGGACAAGGGGAAGTAGTTTCAAAATAAAGAGAAAAGATTTAGACTGGATATAAGGAAAATGATTTGTACAATTGGGGTAATGAAGCATTGAAACATGTTGTCCAGAGACATGGATGCACCATCCCTGGACACATTCAAGGTCAGACCAGATGGGGCTCTGAGCAACCTGATGGAGCTGTAGGTGTCTCTGTCCATTGCAGGGGAGTTGGAATGGATTGCATTTAAGGGTCCCTTCCAACTCTAACAAATCTATGATTCTTCCTCCACCTTCCGCCTGCATACCAAAGGAAAAATGAGATGCACCTGACAGTATCCAGACAACTAAGTCATGATCTTTGCTAACACCTGTTAAGTTTTGAGCCACAGCACTTTGTGGTGCTGTGTGGCATGCAGAAGTCTTCAGTTTGGGGCAAGACAGCATTTTGCAAAGATATTGATTGCAGAAGTAGACAGGGAAACAAAAATCTTTCAGAATGCAGAAATAGAGTCTGTGTAATTTCTTGAATAATTCCTTCTGTTGGTTCCTGCAGTGTTAAGTGTCAGAAATTGTCATAACCTGCACAATGCTGGTGCCATTCATGCCTGCTCTGATTCTACTGCTCACAGGTTCAGGGCTGCAAACTCGAGTGCGTTTAAGGCTTTTTGGAGGATAATGGGATAATCAAACTTCTGAAATATATGCTAAAGATAGGATATTTGTTGATTTGTATAAGGGAATGTGCCTTTATTTATTACTATAATGGCTTCTTTTTTTTTTTTTTTTTCACTACATACAAAAGTGACTCTTGAACAAAACTCAAGAGTAATAGGGCCGACAGTATTAAGACTCCATACTTCGATCTGCCAGAATTAACTCTGTAAATCCCCAATTTTCACATTTTCAAATGTTTTCTTTGTAAATCAAATATATAATGCAAACAGTAAGTACTATATATATTATAAATATTGCAAATTTAATTAGGACTATTATAGATGATTTAAAATATAAAGCATAAATTGCTCACAGACTTCCTCACATCATTTCTCACATATATGGCAATACATCCAAGTGGATAAAGAAATCTATTCCACTAACACTGAAAAGAATATATTTTAGTGTTCACTTTTAAATGTACTCCACCAGAGCTTTCTGCCCATACTATGTAAAGTGCATCATCTGGACATTTCATCCCAGAGAAGATGACAGTACTTCAGACTTTTCAAAACATCTCTGAATTATGTCAAGAAACTGTCCTGGTTCTGCTCAGTTATGTTATGCAGTCTCATGGATGATATCTAGTTGGTCTATGAACGCTAATGAAATAGAAAAGTGCAGTGTATACCATAATTGCAGACATTTGGATCAGCACATGCAATAACTGTTCCAGGATATCTCCGGGATTCACACTCCGCAAAACACTGCCTCTCTCTTGTAAACACAACTAACTCAAGGAAGAATGTATAAACTCTCCTTTCACTCAGCTTTGCCCTTCTTCTCTCTTTAGTAGAGGAAGAATCTCCGCTTAATGCAGCTATATCTTTGGTGACTACACATCTGCAGCCTTTCAAGAGACAGTTGTTCTCTCTGAGGCTCTCTTACATCTAAAAAAATGCAGACTATGAGCCAAATGCTATCTAAATTGAAGCTTTCATACGAAGGTGGAAAAAGGTATTCACCTGATTCCCAGCAATGATATTTTTATAATCTCTCTCTCATTCTAGGAGCAGAACATTCTTGCTGCAATGCTGCCTCCAAGTCACCCCAACACATGCCAAGCAATTATCACATCCCATTTCTGGAGGTTCCAGAGGCTTTCAGAATTATCCAGGTGTGCAATCAGCTTGTGTATAAGGATGTAAATTCCAGATAATGCTCACCACTTCAATTACTACTTTTCTTGACTTTCTTTTCACTCAGGAAGGTCATGTGCTACAAAAGATGTAGTCTACAGGCATACAATAACTGTTTTAATGCATTTGCCATTGAAGCAAAATTGAAAAGGATAAAATTTTTGAAGTTTCTATTAAAATCTCAGGAGTCTCCTGTTTCTTTTCCCTTATAAGGAATTCTATCAAATTTAAAGTTACTGCATGATAAGGCATACTGAATCATGCATACAACATAAAGTCCAAAAAAAATTCTTGCATTTCTTTACTTTTTTTTTTTTTTTAATAATGCATTTAATTTTATTTGAAGAAAGGAAAAAGAAGATAAACGTAGAGAAATGGAAGGAAAAATAATTGCTGTGCTTGATAATTTCTCCATTTAAATAGCCACAAATAGACTTTGAGCTTCAAAAGGCTTTGACATGAGATGGGGAGTGGAGGGGTGAGTGGAAACCATTACCAAGACTACTGCTTGCTGGAATCAATTTTCTGCAAGGCTGGTTTCACAGTGTCACATCAGATCAGATTAAATTTTGATAACTTTTCAACATTAAGAAAGCAAAGTATTCTGCTAATTTTTTAAAATATAATTTGCTAAAAATATAACAGAATTCAGCACAACCATTTCTGAAAACCATAAAACCACAAGAACCAAGAATATGTTCATGGATGTATATCAGCATGACAGTCATTGCTATGCCAGTTTCCTCAAAGCTATGTATATGCTTTTTGGTCATGTAAGAGTTAATTGAAGTAGCAAAAATCAGAAGTAGCCACTGAAGAGAAAACCTCATTATAGCTTTGTAGGGAAAATACTGGTTACAAACTAAGTCAGCACTATTGGCTTATGATGCCTTGTCAGAGTGGTTTTCTTTTGCCTTAAAAAAAAATACCCTAAAATAATTTGAACTTGGAAAACAACAGCAACAACAAAACTTTAGCTGAATCTGATGGACATTTCTGTCCCCCATGCACAGAAAGAAATAATTTTTTAGTGAAGGGATTGTTTTTCACATTGAGTATGTAACATTACGACACATAAGGAAATCTTTTCTGAAAGTCAGAACATGTGTAGCTACAATTACAATGCCTATAGTACATTACAATGCCCAAGTTTAATTGGGAAACTCACTGTACAAGACACTTAGAATCATAACAGGCTTCTTTAATCAGCAGTGTCTGTTCCAATCGTCTTCATCAAAGGCGATGTGTGCAACTCCATGGCTGACAGCAGCAGGACCAGGTTTGTAGCCAGTAAACCACAAGATTTGCCATACTGCATCAGAGGAGTGGGCTCTGGTCTAATCAGACATTAATTGTTGGCTCTGAGAAATCAAAGGCAGGGATGCTACCCTGAGAGACATCACTTCTGTGGTTGCAGCTGGGGTTGGTGAAAGAATTTTAGCTCATTTAATAGCTCCATCTCTGTAAGTTCTTGTGTGGGTGATTCAAAAGCATCACAGTCAGCCCAAACTCAGCGTTCCTCACCAGCACCCTCAGACTGCCAGAAGAGGAAGATGGGAGAAGGACCACACATAGCCACAGCTCCTGCCTGTTAACAATTAAAATCTGCTTGAAAAAAAATTAACAATGAAAACTCTTAGCTATGTCATATTCATTCTCTCACACATGAATTACGAGGTGAGCCCTTACTTACACACATATTTTTGATATCATACTTCCCACATTGTAATGTACTCTCCTTTTTGTATTTATTTGACGTAGGCTGGCTGGCAGCAAATGATACACTTTTGGTTTTCATGAATATGTTATGTGCACATAAATTTGGTGTGGTGGAAGAAAGAGCCTGTAGGTCAGACACGTGAATAATCAAGAAATAGAAATGAGTAGTGGTCAATATATCATTTTTGTCTTCTCACAGCACACTGATGAGGAGCTGGCTGAATCACCTGCACCCTGTAGCTGCTCATGCATGTAGATGTTGCAAAAAGGAATTGAATTTATATAGTTACGGGCAGTCTTTAGGATTTAGGCAGAAGCTCCTTAGATTTCACTCCTTACATGCAATAGTTGCATCTGTTTTAAAAGTAAACAGTTGCCTGCACGTAGAATCATAGAATCATTAAGATTGGAAGGACCACTCTAAGATCATCTAGTCCAACCATCCGCCTGTGCCTGTGACCGCTCCAGACCACATTCCTCAGTGCTACATCTACTGTTTTCTTGAACACCTCCAGAGACAGTGACTCCATCATCTCCCTAAGCAGCCTGTGCCAATGCATCACCACTCTTTCTGAGAAAATTTTCCTTAATATCCAGCCTGATCCTCTCCTGGCACAACTTGACATTACCTCTCATCCTATCTCTTTTATCTGGGAGAAGAGGCCAACCCTCACCTTGCTACAACCTCCTTGCAGGGAGTTGGAGAGAGTGATAAGGTCTCCCCTGTGCCTCCTGTTCTCCAGACTGAGTAATCCCAGTTCCCTCAGGCACTCCCCATGAGACCTGTGCTCCAGAATCTTCATGGCTTTGTTGCCCTTTTCTGGACACTCTCCAGGGCCTCAATGTCTTTGTTGTAATGTGGGGCCCAAAACCAAACACAGTGCTTGTTTGGTGACCTCACCAATGCTGAGTACAGAGGTAATGCGCATCAAACGTGGGATAAAAAATACATAAATCACAGACTGGGAACCACCAGCAAGAAGAAGGTCTTGAAATTGGTGATGAGAGCAGAGTTTCCTGGAGGTTCCTACCTATCTGGCCCATGGCAATGCAATGCAATGGCATGTGCACAGGTTTCCTACTGCACAGACCTGAAGGTCATCCTTAGTTCATAATCCAATCTCCCACATGGATCCTCCATGTACTAGTCAGTCTGGTGCCAAGACCATTGTGCTCCTCACAGAGCCAGCCCGCCATCTTGCCTTGATTCAAATATACTTTTAGGAAGAGAGCCTGTCTACAGCAGAAGACATTTGCTCTATGTCCTCCATCTACTTGGCTCCTTTCAAAGCTTCCTATGAAGCCAGTCCTCCTTGAAGGCACTGTTTCCAGCATAGTGATCCAAAAGTAATCATTGCTGAGAAAACATATCCAAAGCCAGCTCCCATTGTGCGGGTGAGTGGTGTAAGGAAACCTGGAAAGCCACAAAGAAGGGATAAGAGGAGTCACACATGCAGTGGGGTGGCACTTGTCAGGCCCAGTGCAGCCGCCTGCAGTCTGAAGGTCTGCAGCAGAGCTGATCTCTCTATGCTCCCTTCATGCTCAGCATGTGGAAATAGGAACTTCTAGGTGGTTCATTTGACAAGTGGGTGGAAAATGGGTCAGATGGTAGGTAAATCTACTTTCTCTCCATTAACTTAAACTGCAAGTTAGGATATGAGACATTAGTGGTTTTTTTAATTGGTGGTTTGGGGGTTTAGGCTTGTTTTTGTTGTTGTTTAGTTGGTTTTGTTTTAGTTCTTAACAAAGCCACAGCAATATCTTTTTTTCTATAACTTATTTTTCAGGAACACAAACATAAAAACTGTGGATTGCACACGTTATGCTGTGCAGACAAGTTTTCAGAAAGGGTAAGAATTGTTTTTGACATGGAAGAGCCATTTTGGGAAACATGGATCACTAGGTAGTTTCATGATATGGAAGAAAAGAACTGGAATAAAAATATTGAAGAAAACTAAAAAAATCACATCCAGCTTTAACTAGGAAACTTTCAGATACCCCTCTGTGCCCATCAGTTAGATCACCAGTCTAACTGTAGCAGAGATTCTTGACATCAACAGTAACAAATAACACAAGAGCTTCCTCCAGTTAAGCTGATGCTGAGCATCAGTTGTGGAGTTCCTCCATGTGATTCTTCCTATGACAGCTGTGGCACAAGTACAGCAGCAATCACCAGATGGCACTGTTACAGCTTCTTTATGAGTAATTTTAACGGTCTCACGAGGAGCTGTTGCAAGTAGCAGAAAAGATCAATTTCAATCTTAGCATATTAATCATATTTAGCATATAGGAATTCGTTTGGGGGTTTTCTTTCTTTCTTTCTTTCTTTCTTTCTTTCTTTCTTTCTTTCTTTCTTTCTTTCTTTCTTTCTTTCCTTCCTTTCTTTCTTTCTTTCCTTTCTTTCCTTTTTTCTTTCTTCCCTTCTTTCTTTCTTCCCTTCTTCCCTTCTTTCTTCCTTCCTTCCTTCCTTCCTTCCTTCCTTCCTTCCTTCCTTCCTTCCTTCCTTCTTTTTCCTAGGAGTCCCACATTAATGTTTGGGTTGAAGTTCTTGACAGCAGTGATTTGTGGCAGTGCTGTTTGTGACAAGGTCCTGTCAAAGCTGATTTATGCGGTAAAATTAAATAAGAAACATTAAAAATAAACCCTGATGTGCCTTACTAATTTATCCTATGTAACAAATGATGTATTAAGGCCTGAAATCCTCTGCGTCTGAACAGACGGGCCACATTATCATGGCATTCTCTTGTCAATAGATTTATGAACATTTGTGGATTTGGAAACAACTATTTCCAAGATGAACATATTAAAAATAAATAAAACAAAAATGGCTTCTCTATAAGTGGGATAAGAATGGATCTTTTGCTAGGAAATATTTGGTTAATTTTTCCTCTTAACCATAGCTGGGTACAGTGAAAAAAACAACACTGTCATATACCATCATAATCAGAACAAGAGGCATTGAGGAAATCATTTTTAACACTGAAATTATTTCAAATTAAAGTTTCCTTTTCATTTTCTGTAGTTCAGAGTGTTTGAACCCCTTTCAACATTTTCAAAGGTAACTCTGGAAAGAAATGAACTATTGCTCTGAAGGTGAAAACAGTTTTGCTGCATTATTAGCCACTGCAAAGTATGCATTATGCTGTTTGTTTATGTTGAGCTGGCCATGTAACTCTCAGGTACAATATCCAGATGCTGCCATCTGCATTTCTAGACTTCTGCTCCAGTTCTTGTGTCACCTGCTGAAAGAAAACGATCAGACTGTCTGTGCATTGAGCAGCCACTTCTTTGAAGCAGTTACCAGCACAGCTTCTGACTCCAGCACTCTGCCAGCACACGCTCAACCAGCCTGCAGACATCAGTAGCTGGCTTTCCCCCACTCTGAGGCTTCACGTTAAATTGCTGTTGAGACTCCATGACATAAATTAAGAACAGAAAAACCAGTT